TAAATGAATATGATGATGTCATCCCTGTACATGTTTATCTTTACAGCATAAATGACTATGATATCATACTTGTACATGTTTATCACTACAGCATAAATGACTATAATGATGTCACCCCTGTACATGTTTATCTCCACAACATAAATGAATATGATGATGCCATACCTGTACATTTTTATCACTACAGCATAAATGACTATGATGATGTCATACCTGTGTATTTGTTTATCTACAGCATAAATGACTGTGATGATGTCATACCTGTGTATGTTTATCTCTGCAGCATAAATGACTATGATGATGTCATACCTGTGTATGTTTATCCCTACAGCATAAATGACTATGATGATGCCATCCCTGTAAAAGTTTATGTGCTTACGGATAATGCTTACAGTGCTTACTATTATAATAACCCTACATTAATTCTGTTATGCCCCTACTTACATACATTTGATTTAGTTGTGTTTCTGTGTCAAACCTGTCAGAACAATGAAATTTACGATAGAAACTGTTGGTAGTCTATTGTAGAAAATGTTGGTCATTCTTCTTTCCATTCCATTCGACATCTCAATTGTGACTGTGACAATAGCATGGGTGTCAAGAGTCGTTCTAATGGTTTATCTGATATTTTTAGCACGACATGACCAACTCTGGAACTTTCTTCTAACTCATCAGTACATACAGAGTATCGCAAAAACATTCTATGAGAATATTGGGCCATCACTACTTCCCACATGGCTCATGTTCAAAATAATAATATACCACCGATATGTTTTGCTGAAACAACTATCAAGAAATTAGTTTCTTATAGTTATGACCGTCTCCGGTGTAACAGTGCCAATAAAATATGAATATTTACATAAACTTAATTTAACACATTGAGTATTTATCTTCAATAAATATGGATACAGTACTGAGAAAAATATAATATTTATGTGGGAGCTAAATTATTGAGTGATTTGAAAACATAAGTTGTAATATGAAGTCGTACAAGATCGTGTAGATGTAACCAGTTAAAGAAAAAGAAAAGTCTATAGTGCTGGATAACTTGATAACCTTATACATATCTGTAGACATACCACATATCGAGAAAAAATACGAAGTAATTAAGTATAAAAGAGTTATAACCTTCTCGTTGAAATGAATAAATATTTCCCAATGCTCTAATATAATACAAGATTATTATCTAATCATTAATCCAGGTAGTTTTCCAGAAGTTGCAAGGTTAGTTATTTTCTCGATAATAGTGAAATTAAATTTCGTTTCAGGGGGGGGGGGGGGTTACACTTCGTAATAGGTTTGCCCGTGTTTAAAACCATTTAGTTTATGTTACTCCAATAAAGTAAGATTTCAAATTATTTGTTCAGCTTTCCCCCGGTCAGCGAGCAGTCATTTTGTTCATCTTTGGTGAACCAGTCAATGCTGTGCCCCAAATATCTTACTTTGAAGCCATACTTTCTTTTTAGATTCAATAGCAATAATGGCGCCCAATCTTGTAGGTGGGTTAATTAGTGAGGTAGTCCAGTGAGATGTAGAAGCTCCCCTGTGTTCCACTAAAGACTTCCCCGTTGTCTCTAAAGTTTCACTCAATCTATTCCATGAAAGCGGTGCCAATATCTTTATGCAGAGGGTCATTGATTGTAACATAGGTGGTTTGATACCTCATATAGCTGATACAACCAATGCAGTTGAAGTAATACTGGCTGGGCAACATGCCTTCATTTACATGCTTGTCCGTTTTCCTGTTGGGAATGATGGGCCTGTGCCGTTAGTTATAATCTATATACATTGTGCAATCTAAATACATAGATGATGAAAACAATCGGCACTTACTCCTAGGATAATCAAAATGTGCTATGTAATGACGTCAGAACGGGACTTGAACAGTTTTTATTTTGTACCAGGGGTGATACTAAATCCTAGTTTTGCATCATCTGAGACATAAGGATAAGACTTTCATGCACAGCAAGTTCTGTGCCCATGTAGTAGTCTTATAAAACCAACTATTTCAAAAGTTTATTGTCCTATCTCTTCTATTTGTAAAATCATAAAATATTGACTGAAAAATAAAAGTATTGTTAATATTATCGTTAGTGGCGCTATCAGTAAATACGCCTATAAAATGTACTTTTTAATATTTAAATAATAATTTGAATAACAAACACGTTGAATTACGTTTACGTCAGCATGGTTCCATATGCTGTATGCAGCACACACGCACGTTTTTATACACTTTAAAGTTGATCGTGTTGTAGTAAAATCCACCCGGTCAAAGGTAGAAGTTTTATGTGAGCTCGTATGTTTAACAGTATTTACTCGCATCGTTGCGTTGCTAAGAACAGTACATGTTTGCATTACTCTACTGATTAGTTATTTGAGGGTGAATTTGCGGCTGGATCTATCATGGCTGTAGTGGTGGCAAGTGTGCGTTGGTTACAGGAACAAGTTAGAGGAGATACGCCGTCCCCAAGGTGAGATACACAATATATTTGTAATCGCCATT